GTCAGGAGCCGGAGTAGGTAGTCATACAAGCCAGGTCAGGAACACGGAAATCAGCGTAGTCAGGAACAAGCTAGGAGCAGGAGCCAAGAAATCAGCATTGCCAGGAACAAGCCAGGAGCAGGAACCAGTGGAGAACGTCAGCCAAGATCGGGTCATACACGTAATCAGAATACTCAGAGCAGCAGGAAGACCACGCAGGGGCAAGGTCAGACTGGACTGAGTGGTTTATATATAGTGAGTGGGGTGACATCATCACTCAGAGACAGGAAACTCCCATCTGGCTCTCTCAGATGATGCTCTCCTGTCTGGCCATAAGAGGGAGCCCGGGGGTAGTGAGCAATGTTACAGAGTCTGCTCGGGCAAAGGAAGAATCACAGGTGGGTAAAATGGCAGCCAAGCCAGAATGCTGCAAATCAGTTTAGTCAGGGTAGAACCCTGACAGTAATGCAGCATACAACAAAGCACAGCAGTGCATTAAAGCACTTTTTGGTGTGATGCAATGTGTGTAATGTTGTGCCATTAAAAATGAATGGTGCCTCAGTGCACTAACATGCATAACGCGTTTTTGTGTGTTGCGGTAACATGCGTTATATTGTGTATATTAAGATAATTCTAGCTTGTTATAAGGGACGACAAATTTTTTGGTCAAAATCCTAAAAAGAACTGGCATGCTTGACAGTTACTGGTTTGAGAGCAGGTTAAAGTGTGACTCCTTGCACGCCTGGTTTAAGTTGCATATTGGTGGGTTGAATCACACCACCCAGTTCTTCGTTTATTAGAGACCCAGACATAGAAATAAGTGAATTTGGGTCCACTTACCTACTAAGGTCATTACTACGTGGTCTATGTATATTGCTTTATTTCTACATTCTAACCCTTGATCTGTCAGACTGAATGCTGCTGTGCCTACGCATATAATAAGCTAATATAGACACATTTAAGTACTTCCGCCTGTAGCCTTTAAATACATTGATTTTTTTTTTTTATAGGATGAATACTTAGTTAAATTAAATGGTGATTTTATGTGTGCTTGGAGCTCAGCTTTAAAACGGGCACTATTTAAAGAAAACCTTTCCTGTATGAAAGAATATGAAGCTCATCACTGCCGGTCTCTCCTTCAGAAAACAATAGCTGCCAGGTTGTGATTCAATGGAGTCATTACATTCTGAAGCACTGACCTGGAAAAAACATGCATATTCAGCTTGGAAAGTTTGGACTTTCTGTCAGTGACTGGAAAAATTAACCAAGAAACTGCCAGGGACCAGATACTTTTAGAAGGAAGTGAAGCTACACTTAAAACTTTTTTTTTTCTTAGTTTTGGATGAAGTGGGAAAGGGTTTGTATTGCTTCCTGTTTCTCTATTCGAAAGATGATCTTTTACTTCCCTTGTAGGCATTGAGATAACCATGAGGCGAACCTCTCTTTTGGGACAGGCATAAAAGCACATTAGAATGGAGAGGGTTTAGGACCTCAGTCAGGTTTAATTTCTATGTACTCATTGGTGATATTTCAAACCCTTCTTATACAGGTAATTGTGGCTGCAAGAGGAAAGGTCTCCATCGGGGACATGGACCACACAACACTGACCATCATTCTAGCCCTTCCATAGTTTATTCAAAACAATAAAACATTTTGGCTTCTACTTTTATGGCAATCTCATTTTAGGAGAAGGAAGAAAATCGATTAAAGAACAAACTCTAGCAAACTATAAAAAGAGAAGATGTTGTAAATCGTGAATTAAAATTTGATTTTTCTTTTTCTATTTAAACAAATGCATAATCCTATGTTTGGAAAGTAAGTGATCGTAGTGTTTTGTCTATATTAGAAAGTCATTCTGAGCATTCTAAATGCTCTAATTGCTTGTTTACAATAAACCGGCCCCAATCCAGCCCGATATTGGAGGAACTACACTTACGTTTGCAAGTGACTCCTCATAGGAGGAAGCCTGGAACATCAAAGCTAATTAGTGATGTGTTAAAGGCAAACTGCAAAAAGATAATGGGCATACCTATGAACTTTTCAAAGTCGGTGATCTGGAGATTTGGGGTGTATTGATGGGAGGGGCAAATCACTGCATGTACACTGCTCTGAAGTAGAAGCAGTGGTTTAACAGTAATGTAGTGTGAGGTAGCCAAAGAGAGGGCCAATGTTGTAGCTTTAAGGCCCCGTTCACATTGAGCGATTTATCGCGCGATTTTTGTAGCGATATCGCTCATATTTCCGCACTATATCGCTCTATGTAGCTTCACCAATACAATTCAATGTAGCTGTTCACATCTCGTCGCTCAATATCGCTCAATATCGCTTGTAGCTCGTCGCTGGTAGCTTGTCGCTTCTACATGACCCTTTTTTAGAGCGATTTTGAGCGATATTGCTCCTGATTGCATACAGCCCAATAGGAAGATCGCGCGACACGTCGCTCAATGTCGCTCGTCGCTCAATGTCGCTCAAAGTCGCGCGATTTGCATGTCGCTCAGTGTGAATGGGGTCTAAAGTGACAGGCCTGCAAATTAATTATATAATTATGGATACATTTTACATCAGAACCTCCCCTTCATATCTGAAGCCCCCCCCTCTTTTTGCATCACATCAGAAGCCCCCTTAACATCAGAGTCCTCAGTCCCCCAGGACTCCCTCACAGAGTCACTGATGCAACTTGGTGTAATTCACTAGATTGATCCCTCAGTGTGTCAGGCTGGCAGCATGACAGTCGGCAGATCAAAGGCAGGAACTGGGAGCCAGAAGGGCAGAGCAGAACTTGAACAGACTCAGTCTTTCCACTGGCGACCTCTGTGATTGAAGTTTTATCTTCTGCTGGAGCAGGAACTGGGCATGTGGCTTGGCGATGTCACTGCTTGCTACCAATCCATAGCAATCAACAACAGGGGACAGCCAGATTGCACAGGAGTCCAGTCTGGCCACCCAGAGATAATGACAGACCCAGCAATGCTGAGGAAAATCCAGCATTGCTGGGTAATTTCTGGCAAGTTCCCGGGTATGATCATGGTTTATTCAGCACTGGGAAAATAGCATTATAACAGCTATGACAGAAAAAAAAAAAAAAAAACATACGCCAATGTCACCTTACATTTAAAAAACATACACAAAAAAAAAAAAAAAAAAAACATACGACAAAGTCACCTTATACAAATAAAATTACAGTACACTTACAATTCAACACACAGATACTATCTTAAGATTTCAAGGCATTTTATTCTTCTCACAGAAGCAGGGCAGCTGCTGTGGAGAAATCTACAGGGGAACAAAGATAACAAGTAACGGAGCTGTCGATGGGTTGAGGTTCATAATAACTACAATCAATGCAGGCCCAGAGTCACCATAAGAGCACATGGTAAGGGTAGGAGACCTCTGGCACTCCAGCTGGTTTTGGACTTCATCTCCTATAGGAAAAAAACTTGCTAGAGTGCCAAAGGGAATGTCAAATGGTTTCTGCAGCTTGCTGACTATCGGAGGTAAAGTGCCTCAAGACTCCATCAACAAGCGTGCAGGAAATCATAACAACACTGGTCACATATGTTTACACCACATGGTGTTTACACTGATTCAACAACTAGAAAAGAAATGCCATAAATAAAATTATTAGGAATGAACTATAGTTGCAGTTTTAACATAAAAACTCATCAATGCAAAAAATCCTAGCATGACTAACATAATGAGCAAACCTGACATTATATTACGGTCAATGTACATATAAATATACCTTTCCTCCAGTGTCAAATCTTCCTGCCAGTAATTATAAGAATGCATCCCAGTTATTAATAAATATAGTACAAGTATTTACAAAAAAAAGTTTTTTTGTTTTGTGCATATGAACCTGAAAGTGAGCCTGCTTCTAGAGTACCAGAGCATTATGTGCTAAACAGCTGATCTACAGCTAGTGCTCTTAGCTGTGTATGAATAGCAGACTGCTTATCCAGACTGACAGACAAGAAGGTGTCAAGAGGGGCCAAAGACATCACCGGAATACTGCTACAGTCCAACCTTTCCGGTACATAGCAAAGACCAATATTCATAATGCTGTGAGTAGCTAGGTACTGTACAGTATGGAAATTATTGTACTCAATTTCATAGGAACGGAAAATTTTAAATGAAATATTTACATAAATGACCTGCTTGGCAGCTAGTATGAAACCTGTACAATGTTTGTATTGCACTAGTGTCAGTATCACACATTTCACCATAATGTCATGACACAACTTCTACTGTTTAAAATGATCTGTCGTCACGGAGGCAGACAGAATTGTAGACTGTAAAAGTATTCAGCCCATTGATTCTGTGAAAAAAAGAAGGTCAATGCGGTGGCATTAATGGCATCACTCTGACACATGTCAGATAAACCCCTATTAGTCATGGAGCTCAGAAAATAGGAAGCGACACATTTGTGTCCCTACATTAATCCTCCATTTTGCTTTTGCTACAAAACACCACCCTGCCTGGACACATACCCCTTCAAGAGGCCTTGGAATAGGTCTGTTCTTTCCTATTGCTTATTGTTCTACACTTTCTGACTTTAAGAGAACCTGTTACTTCGTCGATTCAGAGAAAAGTAGCAGGTTTCATTTAATAGGCCACCTCATCTGTTATTAATATTCATCTTCCACTGGGCCCTGATAGAAAGTGTAAACTGTGTGAGCTTACAAACTACCTTTCTCCAGCCAGACATGACCGAGCTCATTCTTCCTGACTGGCTGCTCAGGTACCCAACGCTGTTTCAAGAGGGGGAGAGGGTCACATGCTCTTATACCTAGATGCACCAGATACTTCACAGGGCCATAACTGTCAAATTGGGTAGGAGAAGAATGCAAGGATGGCAAGTATCTACCATGGATGGGTGTAGATATTAGGCGATACTGATACTTTGCCCTGAATGAGTAGAGTGACAGGTTTACTTTGAGCACAGAGGCATAGATATGCTAAGGTTGACGCAATGTGGAAGGTAGACATGACAAATGTGCTCTCACCAAGTAGAACACAAAGGATGCCATAGTAGAAGGGGCAAAAGAGGCCCAAAAAGGTTCTAGTCAGGTGACAGTGGAAGGCCCACTAGTCTCCAAGCACCATGGTTAGCAGTATGAACAGTTATAGCTGTTGTTACAGGCATGGCATGTGATCAATGCCACAGCTATATCATGAATTCCTATGCTGATGCAATGCATTAGATAAAAAGCCTGGTCCTGTCTACAAGACTGTTGTCTCCAGTGGACAGGAGGTACACTCTAATGGACATATAAACACAAACAAAAGTCAACTAGAGACTGCTTTATGAAGCCACAAAACATTTGAGACTGTACCATATTTGTTTTTCCTTGTCAGTAGCCAGTTTTTATAAACATATTTCATTTACATGTTCTCTCCAACACCCGTTTTTGCACTGAAACCACAAAACTGGTGGGAGGATCTAAAAGCACATAAAAAAGGGATGGAATGATATTTGGATTGGGAAGACATCATTTGGCACTGAGGAAGAAATAAAAGTGCTATGATTCTCTCGCTAGTCACTTCTGAGTATTTCCTTGGGGACAGAAGTTACCAGCATCCTACTGCATCATACAGCTATATACCTGATAGGCCAATATCTCAGCATAGATGCTACTTTCTCAAGCAGTTCCTCCAAACCAAGGCATCGTTCTATGTCGTTTTGGCGACAGCTAATTAAGATAATGATTAAATGATTGAATGATAGATAATGAAAATTACAAACAGGAATGTAGACACGATGTAAAAATAAGACATTGCTCCTCTCTTCAGCAGAGCCAGGGGATATGTACTCTGTGAGGTAACAGTGCCAGCTTTACCCTAATGGATCTCTCTTGCAGATAGAACATTCTGATCTCCAGCAGAGTCCATGTAATATAGTCTCATTACAAACAGATAAAAAAAGGCAATAGCTGCATTCTTCCAGTGCAAAGGAAATGCTGCATCTGGGACAGCTTGTGTGGCTGCAGCCCATTTTTTGAGCACATTAAAAAATAAAGGGAGTGTGCTATTTTTGCGGAATTCAAGCTTGCTCGAAACCTTAAAAAAATAAAATAGCAACAGCCTGATTATTCATTACACCGAAGCAGATTAAAGAAAAATAAAAGAAGGTAAAAAGGCACAAGAGTCAGATCTCTTTGATTGTTCTCTCCGTCGGCCGGTACTCAGATGTCCCTGTGGATGACAGGTAGAACGACTGTGTCTTCCTTTTTAACCGGGCCCGCTTGTTAGCCAGCGTCAGGCTGCGGCGGCTGGAGCTAATGATATCCGAGATAAATTTCTTACAGTCCACGCACACCTCCATGGTGCTCCAGTCTTCCATGAGCTCTTTTGGGAATTGGAGTTCATCATCTGACTTATCCTCAGATTTGGACTTTGACCCCAACCTATACAGAACAAATGGACATAAGTCAGATTAAGTAATAATGCACATTATTTAACACTGTCACTAGGACAGGAAGTAAGGGGAAATCTCCCCAAAAGTGTTACAGAAGAAATGTATTTGTCTGTAACCCTGCTGGTCAGAATCCTTGCCCTTACTTTATATGTAGCTGAAAGCACTGGCTATATATCAGCTGTTACAGTGGAACCTTTTAGACAAGAAGGGGAAATCTCATCACAGAGGACACAGAAAGTAATAAAAAACACAAACACACATTGTGGATCTAACCAATAAATAAAAAAAGATTTTGGCTTGAGTTCCACTGAAACCATCTCTAATTATTTCCTCTTTTTAACCTCTTGCCGTCCGCCCGTAGTAAAAAAACGGACGGACGGCATATTTTTAATGTAGAATATGATATACTGCTACCAAGACTTGGTGTTTCCAGTATAAGTGGTATTAAATAAACAGTCTTAAGTGAAGTGCTCTATAAAACTCCTAATGTGCATCCAAAATACCTTTCAATATTTCCAACATGATATCTAAAATATATAAAAACTTACTTAGTGAGAAAAATGATAAAGAGTGCAAACATAATCATTCAAATATTATGTTCACATTAACTATGCAAAGAATATAAGTCTGGTATTCCGCAATATACACCAATCATCCATAACATTATGATCACCCGCCCAATATTGAGCATTATGTTTTGTCACCAAATCAGCCCTTATGTGTTGAGGCATGGACTCCACTAGACCTCCGAAGGTGTGCTGTGATATCTGACACCAAGCAGTCAGTAGCAGATCCTTTAAGTCCTGTAAGTTGCAAGGTGGGGCCTCCATAGATCGGACATGTTTTTCCAGCACATCCCACAGATGCTCGATTGGATTGAGATCTCGAGAATTTGGAAGCCAAGTCAACACCTCAAACTCGTTGTGTTCCTTAAACCATTGTTGAACCATTTTTGCACAGTGGCAGGGCGAATTATCCTGGTGAAAGAGGCCACTGCCATCAGGGAAAACGGTTTCCATAAAGGAGTGTACTTAGTCAGGAACAATGTTTAGGTAGGTGGCACATGTCAAAGTAACATCCAAATGAATGGCACGACCCAAGGTTTCCCAGCAGAACATTGTCCAAAGCATCACACAGCCACTGCCGGCTTGCCTTCTTCCCATAGTGCATACTGGTGCCATCTCTTCCCCATGTAGACGATGCACACGCACCCCTCAATCCACATAATGTAAAAGAAAATGTGATTCATCAGACCAGGCCACCTTCTTCCATTGCTTTGTAGTCCAATTCTGATGCTTATATGCCCATTTTAGTTGCTGTGGGCATGGGTCAGCATGGGCACCCTGACCATTCTGCGGGTATGCCGCCCCATACACAACAAACTGCAATGCACTGTGTTCAGACAACTTTCTATTGGTACCAGCAATTTAAGCTACAGTAGCTCTTCTATTGGATCAGATTCCTTCCTTGGACAAAATTGGTAGCTCCTGACCACTGCGGACCGGGAACATCCCACAAGAGCTGCAGTTTTGGAGTTGCTCTGCCCCAGTGATGTAACTATCACAATTTGGCCCATGTCAAAGTTGCTCAAATACTTAAGCTTGTCCATTTTTTCTGCTTCCAACACATCAACTTAAGGAACAAAATGTTCACTTGCTGCCTAATGTATCCCACCCACTTCCAGGTGCCATTGTATTAAATAATCAATGTTATTCACTTGAACTGACAGCAGTCATGTTATGGCTGATTGGTGTAAGTGTCTCTTCCTTGCAGTAAATAACAGTTTATGTATTGGTGCAATAGAGATTCTCCAAAAAGAAATATCACATTCATTCTTGCAATTTTCTCCTTGTAGTGGTGAACCTTCAGCTAAGCACACTTACAGAACATACAGTAAATGTACAATTTTCTACATGACTTACTTGGGTAAGCTCTTAGGTGGTCGATGATGACTGGTGGAGGGCCTCTCAGGCCTGAGGAAACTGTCCCCTCTCTGCAAGGCAGAAGGTCCCAGTGAAAAGATGGGGAGTGTGGAATATGGCTTGGAAGGTAATCTCATCTGTCATGGAAGATAAATATACAATTTGTGTCAAGACAGTAAAAATAAAAACACAGGAAAAGATGTCTAATGTTTACTGGCTATACACTTCCAGCTTACCTTTTTGCAGCACTGTGAACACACAGGCCTATAAAAGATACAAACACAGAATTATGTTACTAATACTGTAGAATCAGTCAATTAACTCTCACTTATACAATGACTCTGCAACTGACAAGAGCCATGCACTGTACAAACAAAACACTGCTTTTTCAAAAATGGAAATACTTTATAAGCAAGACACAAATACACTTCTTTCAAGAGGAAATTTGCTCATATTTCCTGATCCATTACACAGTAATGCAAGATAATAAAAAAAATAGAACTCAAGTGTACAGACAAATACTTACCGTTTGCAGAACTGGCAAGTGTAAGACCAGGTGAACAAGGAAAATCTCTTTGTCCGACAACATAAACAAAGCTGTAGAGGAAAGAAAAGAGAGTACATGGTCAGATAACAATACTATGAAAGAGAAGAGAGTACATGGTCAGACCACAATACTATGAAAGAGAAGAGCGTACATGGTCAGACCACAATACTATGAAAGAGAAGAGAGTACGTGGTCAGATAACGATACTATGAAAGAGAAGAGAGTAAATGGTCAGACCACAATACTATGAAAGAGAAGAGTGTACATGGTCAGACCACAATACTATGAAAGAGAAGAGCGTACATGGTCAGAGAACAATACTATGAAAGAGAAGAGCGTACATGGTCAGAGAACAATACTACTTAAGAGAAGAGAGTACGTGGTCTGATAACAATACTATGAAAGAGAAGAGCGTACATGGTCAGGGAACAATACTACGAAAGAGAAGAGAGTACGTGGTCTGATAACAATACTATGAAAGAGAAGAAGAGCGTACATGGTCAGGGAACAATACTACGAAAGAGAAAAGCGTACATGGTCAGGGAACAATACAATGAAAGAGAAGGGCGTACATGGTCAGACCACAATACAAAAGAGAAGAGCGTACATGGCCAGACAACAATACTAGCTGTAAAATTGTACATGTATGAATTGTACATAATGAGAATATTTATGATCTAACCCAACTCTTCTCTGTTGTATGGCTTAACCAATAATACAGGATGTTTTTAATTCTAATTACTTTGCACTGATTTAGCCATCATGTGTAGACGTGATTGTATATTCAATGGGGTCAATTCACAAAGCTCAGCGTTACGAGAGTAGAAGTTAATTTATCTATCCTTATTTTACCACTTTTTAATTTTACTGGCTGAAACATGCAATTCACAAAAGCTGGAATTGTAAATGCACACGCAGTTTAACGTTCCTTAAGCAAGTGTTATTTTTACATCACAGACTTTATTTTATCTATTACTGTGATAAAATAATGTTTTGGGTGTTATTTTAACACTTTTGCAGTGCAGTTTTGTAGCAGGGGGGTGGAGCAGATGCCTAGATGACTGTTTTACTTTCACCACCCAAAAGGATTCCACATATAGGAAATGAATATATTCCATGTTCGCCACATGCATACTAATTTTAAATTTGGTAGAGAAGAAATCATATCGAAATAACTAACATTTTTTCTGAACGGAATGAATATATGAAACATTAGGTTTATTTAGATTTACATCTGTTAACAATCAGACACTTGAGACTCAATTAGGGTTTAAGATTACCAGTCAAGACTGGACTTATGTAGACATCTGATATTGTTATTAAAGTAAACCTTTGCTTTTCCTACGCAGAGCAAAGCAACCGGTTTATTTGATTTCCACCCTCCCTGGATGCCAGTAGTGTAGAGAGGAAACCTAGTGCAAGCTCCTATATATACCTTTCCCAATGTTCACACTGCCAGAAATCCCATACTGAAATCTGTTGGGAAATCAGTACACTTCCAGGAGTGCTGTTCTCCTTGGTCCCCTGCACCCCTCAGTTGTACTGATAGGGCCTCTTTAATACCACTATTCAGATTTACCATTTACTGGTAGCTCTAGCTCAAATACCCCACAGCCAGAAAAGCAAAAATATTTCTAAAAATATCATTTAAAACAGTGCATTTATTAGAAAACAGAAAGACAAATTCCCCCACCCCTAAAAAAAATAAAAATACATTAGCATAATGAAAATTATTTGACCATGCACCAATATAATCTTTCAGGGTAAACCATGTATATTTTCTCTATGCCCTTATTACACTGCTTCTGTTTGTAATAAACAAGTCATTGCAAGTTTAAATACAATTTTAATTAACTCCCTGGTGAGCGATCACAGGACCATAAGAACACTATCCATGTTCGTTATTATAGAGACTTCAAGTTACACACTAAAGAAAAACATGAATACCAAGTCATTCCAGTAGACTGTAGTAATAGTAGGGGGTTTGACTATTACGCATGTGTATGGATCAGGAAGACTCCTAATCCATACACATGTGTAATAGTCACATCACCTCAGAGAGTAATCATTCTGGATAAGTGTACAACCAAAAATGGATGATGTGATTTGGGCAATCTACTATGTTTCATAGGTCCACCTTTAGCAGGTTAAAAATGAACGAGTGGCTGCTACACTTTCTGGGCAGCAGTGAATAAACCTGCTGTAACCTCCAGATAAACTTTGCTCTCAACCTAGATACATCTATAAACCTCACAAATGTCAAGGTGTCCAAGAAGTCATAGAAGTTGAGGGGCTCCGGGATGCTTGTTTGATTTTGTTTGCACTTCACTAGCCCCTGAAAGTGATCTGGCGGCAGCTCAGCCGCCAGAAATGCTTGCACTGTAAAGCCAACAGTTGGAGTTACAAATGTAAACAGAGTCCTGGCGGGAGTCTCTCTAAAAGGAGCCTGCTGCCACCAACATATGAAATACATCCGTGGCAGTGAAAGGGTTAATCGATTAGTTGGTTGCAGCCCTAATCTTTTTTGTGTATCACTCGGCTGTAGATCCTCAAATCATCTCTTAAATGGTGCCGACACTGTCCTTCACACTGGAGGGTGGCTACTTTTGTTCCCCATGGTCCCTGTGTGTGTTGTAAAGTAGCCATCGCTCCAAGCTCACTCCCGCGTTGGACTAGAATCTTGCGTTTAGTTTACTTAATTTGTATTGAGATTGTGGTCCATTATGGGAGTGAGCTTGGAGCGGTGGCTACCTTACAACACACACAGGGACCATGTTGAACAAAAGCAGCCACCCTCCAGAAGGACAGTGTCAGCACAAATTCAGAGATGATTTGAGAATCTACAGCCGAGTGATGCACAAATAAGCTAAATTTTTGTTTATAAGGTACTTATAAATGCATTTTTAAGATTTAACTCCTGACTTTAGTGTCACTTTCAGTTCCAATGTGGGACTATCTGGAGTTTATTGAGTGTTCTGGATGTAGCTTTAGAAAGCCCCAGGAGGTATTCGGCAAACTTCAGTGCTGCTCTTCAGTCTAGCATTTACAAAAATATTAAAAGATGCCCATGTCGGGAAATAAACTTTAAGAGCTCATCTGCTCCTAAAATGCCAGAAGATAGTATACTAAGTGGTAAATGAGCAATTGTCTGCAGGCTAAGTCGAGGAGTGGCTATAGGAATTCACTTTTCAGTGCCGGTTTCTGATGTTAGGGTTTGTCCCTGAACGTGAGGCTAGGGACAACAATATCAAAACAATGTCTCTTATTCCCCATTCTCAGAGTCAGGGGCTCTCTCTGCATCACTGGATGCAGAGAAGGCCTTCGATAGGCTGATCTGGGGGTTTATGATGGCGATGTTGGAACAAATAGGAATACATGCCTCTTTTGTACAAAAAATACTAGGCTTATACTCGTCTCCAATGGCGCGTGTTTGGGTAACTGGTGTGTTGTCAGAGCCAATAAAAATCTCTAATGGGACCCGCCAAGGATGCCCGCTTTGTCCTTTATTATACATCTTAGCATGGAACATCTAGCTATTGCCCTTCGGTCTAATAGAGATATTAGAGGGGTAAGTATTAGAGATAGGTCCTGTAAATTAAGTATCTTCGCAGATGACTTATTGATGTAGGTTATCAACCCTAGATTGGAGTTCCCTTCAATCTTACAGAACCTAAATAAATTTGGCCGATTGAGTAATTGTCGAATAAATGCCGGTAAATCAGTGTCTTTACGTCTCTCTGTCTCGGGGGTAACGTGAATTTCTAAGTTTTAGTTTTCCCTTTTGCAGGACATCAGATGACCTTAAGTATTTGGGTGTGTATATACCCGCAGACCTAAAAGAAAGCGTATGGCCTTAATTACCTACCACTTTTGGAATCAATGCAAGCCTGGAGGGTTAAAAAACATCCTTGGGTAGATGGCATTATTTAAAATGGATGTACTCTCCTGTTTCTTTATGTATTCCAGACGGTACCAACCAGGGTCCCTTGTCGATTCTTTCATAGGTTACGGACACTCCTTCTCCGATACATATGAGGGTCTTCAGTAGCACGATTGAGATATGATATCTTGGTTAAACAAAAGTTAAATGGGGGAGTGGGGCTCCCGCTTATGGCGTTATATTATAAGGTGACGGTTCTTAATCAGATGGTGGATTGGTTTTCCCCATCGCAGTTCATGCCCTGGGTAAATATTGAACAATTTAGCAAGCCAGTGCCACTGACTTCTTTACCGTGGATTAGGCCTTCAAAGTGGCCACAAAATTAGAATATTTTCCCTTTAGATTCAGCTATATTAAAAGTGTGGGATGCAGTGGTCATACAACACCAGGTCTCCTCCTATGTGGGCTCACTAACACCTATTCATGGTAATCCTGAATTCCCACAAGCCATTGAGAGCAGAAGGTTCTTGAAGTGAGAAACCATAAGGCCCACACCCATAATACAGGCTGTCAATGCCTCTGGGGTGCTTCCCTTAGTGGATTTGCTCCCTTTGGGGACCTCGAGTTGAAAAGTGGTATTAGTACCTGCAATTTAAACAGTTTTTATTTATATCTCCATTCACAAGGTGGGGTATTTAGGAATTTAACATTATGTTGTTTCAAGAGTGTATCACATTTTGCTAATGCAAGGGTTTCTGGCCCGCCCTTATTATATCAAGGAATTGGAATAAGAAGGAGGAGTGGAATAAAGCTTTTTACCTGACTTTTAAGTCTAGTGTAGCAGCAAAAACGCAGGAAAGAAATTTTAAGATATTAACACTATGGTATAGATGCCCAACAGTTTTACATAGAATAAACCCCTCACAAAAAAAAGTGTTGGAAATGATAAGTTGGGGAGGGGACGATGTTACACATCTGGTGGTCTTGTCAGTTGTTACGAACGTACTGGAGCTCTATTTTTAAGATAGGTGGGCATTTGCTGGGAGTAATTCTACCAGAGACCCCGGAAGTGGCACTATTATCGATGTTTCCAGTATCACCGGCAAAAAGTAAGGGAGGACTTCTTCATTTTCTGTTGTTGGCGACAAGGGCAATAATTCCTAGGCATTGGAAGTCAAGTATTTCCCAGACTCGGGAGTGGGTATGTGAAGGAGTTCACAGCACAACTTTATAAATATTCTATGTTTGAGGGGACATGGAGCTCCTGTGTTGACTTTTTTACTTCGTCGAGAATTCAGACATATCTGTAGTGTAAATGTAGGGTCAATTATGCAAAGTTGATGACCCAATATCCAAGTCCCCCACTTTTTTTTTTCTCTTTGTATTATCTGTTAAAGAGGGCGGGAGGTAATACAGTTGTGTGAAAAAGTGTTGGCCCCTTGCCTGATTTTTCATTGTTTTGCACGTTTTTGTCACACTTTAATGTTTCAGATCATCAAATTTAAATATTAGTCAAAGATAACACAAGTAAACACAACATGCAGTTTTTAAAAGGAATGTTTTTATTATTAAGGGAAAACAAAATCCAAACCCACATGGCCCTGTGTGAAAAAAGTAAAATGAGAAAGAAAGTAATTGAGATCTATCAGTCTGGAAAAGGTTATAAAGCCATTTCTAAAGCTTTGGGACTCCAGCGAACCACAGTGAGAGCCATTATCCACAAATGGCGAAAACATGGAACAGTGGTGAACCTTCCCAGGAGTGGGCAGCCAGCCAAAATTACCCCAAAAGCGCAGCGACGACACATCCAAGAGGTCACAAAAGACCCCACAACAACATCCAAAGAACTGCAGGCCTCACTTGCCTCAGTTCAGGTCAGTGTTCATGACTCCACCATAAGAAAGAGATTGGGCAAAAATGGCCTGCATGGCAGAGTTCCAAGACGAAAACCGCTGCTGAGCAAAAAGAACATAAAAGCTTGTCTCCGTTATGCCAGAAAACATCTTGATGATCCCTAAGATTTTTGGGAAAATACTCTGTAGACTGACGAGACAAAAGTTGAACTTTTTGTAAGATGTGTGTCCCATTACATCTGGCGTAAGTGTAACACCGCATTTCAGAAAAAGAACATCATACCAACAGTAAAATATGGTGGTGGTAGTGTAATGGTCTGGGGCTGTTTTGCTGCTTCAGGACCTGGAAGACTTGCTGTGATAAATGGAACCATGAATTCTGCTGTCTACCAAAAAATCCTGAAGGATAATGTGCGGCCATCTGTTCGTGACCTCAAGCTGAAGCGAACTTGGGTTCTGCAGCAGGACAATGATCCAAAACACACCAGCAAGTCCACCTCTGAATGGCTGAAGAAAAACAAAATGAAGACTTTGGAGTGGCCTAGTCAAAGTCTTGACCTAAATCCTATTGAGATGCTGTGGCATGACCTTAAAAAGGCGGTTCATGCTCGAAAACCTTCCAATGTGGCTGAATTACAACAATTCTGCAAAGATGAGTGGACCAAAATTCCTGCACAGCGCTGTAACAGACTCATTGCAAGTTATCGCAAACGCTTGATTGCAGTTCTTGCTGCTAAGGGTGGCCCAACCAGTTATTAGGTTTAGGGGGCAAACACTTTTTCACACAGGGCCATGTGGGTTTGGATTTTGTTTTCCCTTAATAATAAAAACCTTCCTTTAAAAACTGCATGTTGTGTTTACTTGTGTTATCTTTGACTAATATTTAAATTTGTTTGATGATCTGAAACATTAAAGTGTGACAAACGTGCAAAACAATGAAAAAATCAGGAAGGGGGCCAACACTTTTTCACATAACTGTAGGTGAGGGAAGAAGGGGAATGGGAGAGTGTGAAGTAGGGGAGAAGGACGAAAGAGTGTTAAACCTAATTTGATAATTTAATTTGACAGGAATGTGGATATGAGGGAAAATGATGCATACTTAAGATGATACGTAGAGGTTGGTAAGAGGAGTTTAAAAAGGGATATACATTGTATTGTGTTGAGGGGTTTAATGATGTAAAAAGGTACTGTAAACGTTTAACAAAATATATTCTTTAAAAAAGAAATAAATAAAAGATGCCCATGTGTACTGAGCCTTATATTCACCCTTCTATACAAAATTCAGGTCTTAGAAAGGTTGTCAATAGAAATAGAAAAGTAAGTTGTAATATTCTTTTAATTTTAACAGACTTTACCTTTCCCTTCTTGAGAGCATTGTAGACATCTTTATATTGCTGATATTTTTCCAGCTCCGCTTTTACCAGCACTTGGCGTATGTGCATGACTTCCTCTACGGTGAGAGCAAGACATTCTACCGGATAACAAAACTCCTCCTGAAATTGAACAGCTTTCATTAGTCCAGCAACCAACAATGTAGCTACAGGAGATACAAAAACCTTCAACCAAGCACCTCTGTTAGTAGTAAAGAGATACGAAAGACTACTGGCTGGAAACACCTGGGTACAAATCCCCTACCGTGCTTAAAGACAAAAACGGTCTCTAATGAAATGGAAAAAGTAATTTAAATTATTTTCTTTATAGCTCCTCTGCAGTACGACAGAAAACATAGTTAATTTATTGAGAATATTTTTATATATTGAATGTTCTACATAAATGTGACTTATGCAGCACTAATGACAATAACCACCTTTACAATATAAACAACATTAACAATCTGTGCTATATTTATAAACAAATGATACATAATGCTATAACACAATCCATAAAGATATTATTGCATAATACATGGGAATATAACACAATGTGCTCTACTCCAGCCTTTCTCATCCAGGGGGCCGTGGCACCCTGGTTTGCCTTCTGGCCTCCTCAGGGTTGCTTAAAATTTTTGTGGTAGTAGGAATGTGAATTGGAAATAAAAACTGAGATGATAGGGCTCCTGATGTGAAAGGGGGAATTCTGATGTGAAGGGGGTATATTGATTTAAGGGGTGGAAATTATGTGAAGAGGGAAACCCACTTTTTTGTGTGTGTTTGTCCCCTTTAAAATCACATGGCATTTTAGACTGGGTTGCCACTTTTGCATATTTGTAAAGGGTGCCATGACTGAAAAAAGGTTGAGAAACACTGGTTTACTCCACAGTTCTGGCGCAAAACAAAAATGTGTTATTTCACCGAAATGTTTTTGTAAACACATTTTGTCTTAGGCCCTATTCACATGGGTACCTGTCTGCTCCAAACCACATGAGATCCCCGCTGATTGGAACAGTACAGAACAGATGTAACATTTGTGTACATTCAATTTTTTCCTTCATCTTGCGATGTGAACTAAACGGACCAATGTTACGTCATGGGGTGTCAGATGTAGGCGTCCAAAACAGGTTTGCATACTTCTCTGTTTTTTTGCTCCAGGATTAAACGGAATCGGATGTAAACAGACACATGTCCATTTACGTCCAGCTGCCCATAGGGTTACATTGAGCTTTCAATCAGATCAGCCTGAAAAACTGACAGGCAGATCACATCTGGCTACCCCTCTGAAAGGGGCCCAACATTGGAGTTGTGGAGTGCAGCACATTGTGTTATGGCCATGTAAATTGTACAATTATTATTTGTTTATTCAGCACAGATTATGTTATAGTACTATTTATCAATTGTTTGTAGATATAACAGAGACTGTTAATGTTGTCCTTAATGTAAAGGTGGTCTTTTTCTCGAGCGCTACATCACAATCACATTTATGTAGAGATTGATGAGTTTTTCATTTTTGGAGCAAGCTGCTAATTGTTTTCAGGGTGGGGTTAGCGTAGGAGGATCCTAGTTTTAGGTTCATAATATTTTCAGATTTAATGTTTCATACATAAAACATTCCATTAACAAATAGTATGAGGTGGGCATTGCAGAGCAGTTACAGGAAAGTGTTAGTAAGCCAATCAAACATGGGGATTTTACGCTGTGGTGGAATGAAACTTACCTGCACCGGTAACACATATATATATTTATATTGTAAGCACAGCATTTATCAATGCTGATCCTCAAAGAAGACACAACAGCATGTGCCTGGAGGTATTGGAGGTGATGTGTTGGCTTGCATGTGTTCCCACAATGGCAAATTAACATATCATGAGCTCTATGGGGCTAGCTGAGGATTAGCATTGTAAATAACTGATGTAGGAGACCAGGTTAATGAATGATTACCATTAAGAGGCCTATTTATAATCAGGACTTTTCATTACACTGATATTTAATTTGAAGCATATTGCTAGTGAATGGATTTACTCTAGGTCAAATATCAGCAGTGCTCCACTAATCGCCTGTAATCTTGTGCCCGTCTCCCTTTTGTGATAGCCCAACCCTTTAAAACTCTAAACATCAGTCATACAGGCTGATATCCCATGGCTAGAGGGCCACAACTGTGCAAGTTCCTTACCAAGCTGATACCAGCCCATATGTTCTTCAGCACCTCTCAAGTGTTTGGTAAAGGGTTTTTTAGAGCCCTTTCTATCCTTGCTGCAAATAAAGTTTACATTAAATAGACACTGGTTAAAAAATCCAAAATGTGTCTTTGGCCTTCATCTTTTTGCAGCAGATCTCCTAGTCTTGTAAACACCCTATCAATGTGTCAATTTGGGGGAACTTTACTAGAGATTGAACCTTCAACAATGACTGAGACTAATGTGTCTTTCGCCTTCATCTCTGTGCAGCAGATCTCGTAGTCTTGTAAACACCCCATCAATGTGTCCATTTAGGGAAAACTTTACTATAGAGATTGAACCGCCAACAATGACTGAGACTCTATTCACACCTTCGCATTTTGGTCAGTTGAGGGTGCGGTGTGTTGTGCATTACAGGTATGTTTTACAGGTGTTACCATTCATTGCTATGTAACACATGTTTCGCAGCCAACGGCACCAAAGATGCAGCAAGCAGGTCTTTTGTCAAAGCACCTAAAAGACCCATGTGTGAAGAGAGCCTACAAAAGAACCCCTTTAATGACTGGTCAGTGAGAGCTTGGGAGAATCTTACAGTGTAGTGCCCATGGTGTTACTGACAACTTCCTTATTCAATCAAATATAATCATTGAAGTTACAAAGTAAGTTCTACATATCTAATCCCTCTCCTTTACCACCCGTGTGTGTATGTGGGGTAATTTTTTTATGTTAAAAAAACAGACCAAAACGAAAAATCTAATAAGCATTTCTGCTCTTGTAACATTAGTGGCACTGTGCTGATACTCTAGCTATTACATATCCATTCAAAATAATGAATTGCACCTGCTCAAGGTGAAAGAGAAAAAAAGTGTGACAAAAGGCAATAAAAAAGCACCACATTTTAGACTTTATCCCATTATAAATAGGCTCTTAGATATGTTACAGATATTTTGACACCAAAATCACCACAGAATAAAATTATCACCCGTTGATAGTCAATCAGGACAAGCCAGGCTGATCATAATTATACATCTAAATGAAAGGCAGAACAAAGATGTTACAATAGCCAAAATTGGCTGCTTTAAAAGTGAATCCTCCATGAATTCTTCAGCTATGTGACCTGTGAGTGACTGTTCTGCCTTTAAATTAGACAAGAAGATGCTGATAATCAACTAACACACCAGGAAAACATTAGCATTTATGGATCTCCATTGTCCGGAAAAATACCCAAATATTAACTCTCATCGTGCTGGAAAACAGGTGTAAGCCCCTCTAACAAAAGAGTAATCCAATACCACAGGAATTAAAAGGTGGAGAAAGAAATCACCCTGGTAAATTTGCACATGGTATCCTTAAAATAACATACCCCTTGGGCTACCTCCGTGATCTGGAGTGTCGCCTGCTTTTAGGAAAAACAATACGTAATAAAATGTAAGGCTGTGTTGTCATAAAATGTAATACAAACTAAGAAAATTTTGTGAATTAAATTTCACAGATTAATTTTATTTATTCTAGGCACCATTTATATTAATCAGCTGTAGAATCTTTTCAGGTATGATCATGGATGCATTAATAAAATGACTGTGTAGTATGCTCAAATAGTCAAATTACGCAGATGGCTTTAACTTACAACCAGCAGCTAGCACTAGATCTGTAGAAAGTCCACATGGGGCAAAGCTAAGGGCAGAGAAGTTTTTTGCATGTATTAGATTGGCACGTTTTATGTGTTTTTGTTTTTTCCTTTTAAAGCTTTTTAAGGTTAAATGTACACATTTCAATACACTTATTTACAGAACTGGCAAATTCAAACAGCCAGGTAGCCAATATGCCTAAAACATTTTAACATTACTTCTGGTTCTTCACTATCTTAGACCATGACTGTCTAAAAAAATATATGTGCTCCTTGGCTCCCTAAATAGGCCTTCTGGCTACTTGTGAATTTATTTGTCCACCATTGCCTATTTTATTATAAAGGTAAAAAATGTGAACCCACAGTTATTGGGGGTCAAAATGTGTATATGCGTGACAACAACAGTGGCTCAATTATCCATTTACTTTAAGGCTGGGTTCACACCTAGGCGTATCGAATATGCGCGTTTGTTGCGCGATTCGCTGTAAAAACTGCGCGACAAACGACAAAAATATCCCAATGGAAACACGCGACAAAAACGCCCCAAAGAAGCTTCTGTACTTCTTTGGGCGTAGGGCGTTTTGTAGCGCGTTCATGCGGCCTGTAATACGCCCAGGTGTGAACCATACCCATAGGAAATAATGAGATTTCTGTGTTTGAGCGTTTTGCAGAGCGTACGAACGCGCTACAAAGCGCCCAGGTGTGAACCGGGCCTAAATCGCTCTGGTTGTATAATTTTGTTTTGGAAAATATGCTATATTCAGGCTATATATTCAGACTTGTTCACCCCATGCCATGTGCTAGACCTTTTGTAATATATGTTGAAGGTACTGCCTTTCCTAATTTTACAAATATATGTAGTATGGTACTGTACAGTGTTAGCCACTAATTAGTCCAGAGAGTTTGGAGTTTAAGTGATACCCTTTACTGGCTAAGTACATTTTTTAAAGATGCAAGCTCTTGGGGTTCTTTCTATTCCTTTATCAGGCTTTGATGAAGAGATTGAAGGAATCCCAAAAGCTTTTTTAATAACTTGAAGTGACACTAAACTCAGGAGTTAAATATTACAAATGCATTTAAGTACCTTAAGTGATACACAAATAAGATGCATTTTTGTTAATACTCAACTGTAGATCCTCAAATCATCTTTGATTTGGTGCTGAAACTGTCCTTCCTTCTGGAGGTGGTTACTTTTGTACCCCATGGTCCCTGTGTGTGTGTTGTAAAGTAGTTCCGGCTCTAAGCTTGCTCCCATGACGGATTATAATCTCACCTTTAGTTTAAAAACTTGTATTCAGATTGTAGTCCATCATGGGAGTGAGCTTGGTGTGGGGGCCACTTTACAACACACAGGGACCATGGGGAACAAAAGCAGCCACCCTCCAGAAGGAAGGACAGTGTCAGCACCAATTCAGAGATGATTTGAGGATCCACAACTGAGTGATGCACAAATAAGATACATTTTTGCTAATAGTTAGGATACTTAAATGCATTTTTAAGATTTAACTCCTGAGTTTAGTGTCTGCCAATACAGAATATCACTTAAACTCTAAACTCTTTGTATGTATACGTTGATGCAGAGATGAGGTACTCACAGAAATTTTCCGGAGAAGCATTTACTTAAACAAAAGTTTTAATGCTCACCGAAGTTTTGGAGCGGTTCAGCCAACCATTCTCAAGACTGGACGACAATGAAATGACAGTAAGCATTAAAGGTTACTTTACGTTTTGTGTGGGTTCATTATCTCTGTATCAATAAATCTAAATAATACATGAGCTACACTCAAGTTGGTTGAGACTATCCTGAGAGATTACAGAGGAAGTTGGAGGAAAATGCTTTTATATAAAGTGTACACCTATGCAGAAAACTACGGAAACCATCTGCCATAATAATGCAATGGACACTGCCATACTGGCTGAAATTCTTAATTATAATACCAAGTTGATAATTTATGTAATTTGTTTTAGAAGATGTGCAGTTTACACATATATACTAATGATATTTACACAGTTTGGAAAGAAAATATGTCAAAAAAATAAAAATGGATGCCCAGGGATAAAGCTGATAGATCAAATGCTAATGTTTCTTTTTGAAATAAATTAAATTATGTTCAAGGACTACACAAACTTTATGCAACATCACTCTCTGAAACAATTGAACTGTATAAAACGGATGGGCCATATGCAGAGACGCAGTGCCCAAACAAGTTTAATATTAGATGAATATTAAAATACAAGGTTAATAAGGATGTTGCTGTATCAGTTTGTTGTCCTGTGGGGCATGAATTAACTTTGTTATATTATGCATCATGATTGGAGCAGGCAAAAGGGAAAATCACACAGAGTGCCCCGCTGCGAAATCAGTGAGGAAGAAGGCGCGGATGCTGCAGCTGACCACATGGCAACAGCTGAAGTACCACTCCTACCCAGGAGGAAATTGGAGAGAATGATTGATTGCCAGATCAAAACCGAAGATGAAAGAGGCAAACCTGGGGGGCTCTCCACCTGCTGGTATAAGCTTTTTCAAATAGATAAAACATAGCCCCAGCTGCCCCAAAAATGGCTGCTTCAAAAGGATGAGAGCCCAACAAAGAAGCTGTGTGAATGCTGGAAAATGGTGGTCGCAAAGACATCCTTGGAAAGAAACTGGTTATCCTAGGAACCTAGATAATAAATAGGGAGGAGATTGAAGGACATGTTCCGCCAGTGACTAGACATCCTTCAAGGAAACTAACTCCAAAGGAATTCAGAAATAAAGAGGAGCAATGATTCCACATTTGTAAAAGTTAGTTCTACCTCTATTATATCTAACAAATACAGTGATTTGCATTGCCTAACCAAAGCCATTGTATTACTAAATGTATAATACCATACACTGTCCACAGGAGGGCAGCAAACCCTTTCATATTCAGTAAGAACACTGCTTATGATTATTTAACTCTAACAGCAATACATCTAATCTGTAGCAAGAAAGTATCTTTAACATGTAGGAATTCAAACGGATACTCAATAGGTCAATAAACCCAAAATTGAGAACTGATCCAAAATTTAAAGACATTCGTATCCCTTAGGTTTCGCTCACCTGTAGCTATTCTGATGCTTTCTGAAAGCAAATGGTATACAGGTAAACAGAAAGCTGAGGGAAACACTTCAATCTAATGTTTGGTATTAAAGGGGAAGTCTATAGATGTGGCACACACATCAGCTTACAGCTTTTTACATACTTTGCACAGTTGCACATCATCATATTGTCCAGGTTTCCTCTTTTGCAGCAATAACATCACATATACTATTGTGTTTACAAAATATTAAATAGTCAAGCACTAATATTGCAACATTTGCCGTTTCTATGAAAAGTGCATTTATATTAGACCCATGTGTGCCAACCTGCTACAACACCGCTTGATTGGTGCTGATAGGCAGTACACTTCCCTGACCCGAGCCATCACTCTTACCCATGACTGGGTCCATGTCTAAAAATCACATAAATCCCGCTGGCTACATGAATATGGTTCCTCTAAAAACTGCTACTGGTAACTCATTCTACAGTTAGCACATACAGAATATTCTCCCAAATGGCTATCCTAAGCTGTGCTGTACCAGCCACTGTGAGTCAGTGTACCTGCAGTGGAACAGGATGCACGCTTTGGTGTACAAAATATACCTGTCTGACACAAGTAAGGAAAATACATCAAATCAGCCAATCTTGTATACTGGTTCTATACTATGGGGACAGACAGGCGAGGCTTCATTAATCACAGGCTGTACTTTTGATGAAACTGAGCAATGGGTGCCTTTGGTGACACCAAGTGTTGCACTGTACCCTTCACTGGTTTTCAAGGAGGAAAACAAACAGGCTTATATAAGTATTAATAGTCATCACTCATAATCTCTATTGTTTAAATGTAATGTAGTTTGATGTGCTTAACACTGGACATAAGAAGGATTACAGATAACCCGCTGTTACTCTCTGAAGGATTTGTGCTGTCTAAATTAAGGGTACCAAAACAAAAATCCTCATTCTGGATCGATTCTCTTTCTGAGAATGTTAGCTGCATGGCTGTTATACAAAGCCTGTGGCTCCAGTATCTTCTGAGTCACTGACCGGCAGATCAGGAAGGTAAAAGAAAAGTAAAAAGTCTTGATCTGCATGCTTAATATAGGTCAGTGACTCGAAGATCTGTAGCAAGAGAGCCAACATGCAAGCATGGCAATCAACTTTTTTTTTTTTAAAGGCGTGATAACCAGCTGTCATGTACCTCCGATGACATATTAACTGGCAAACGTAAACTTGCATATTCCACTAACACACAATAGTCTTGTAACTCTCTTTCCACAATTAGGGGTATTACTCTCTGCATCAGCTTCTGTAGAGTCCTGAATGATGACAGCAGGTGGATTTATTTTTCTTTCACTTTCATATCCACTGGCATCATCCACATGAATATAATGAGTTTCATAATATATGTTGCATTGAACTTACCAAAGATCTGGAGCTTTGTCGAGTCGGTGGTAGAAACTGCCTAACATTGGTTGGAGTCTCTTTCTCTATGGAGTGGCGCCTCTGTGGAGTTTGCCGTCTCTCAGGTTGTGGTGTAGAGGAGATTGGCAGGAACCTGGGTGGTGCTAAAAGCAAATATAATGCTTAAAATTAATTGAAATGCCAGGGATAACATTTCCTTGATTATGAAGGCTTCGATTCCTCAGTTCCATTACTTATATTTTGATTCTTATGTTAGACTGTGATACTGCCTTTGTACCCATGCCTTTGTTGTTGTATGAATATGTTGAGCAACTGTTGCATATGTACCTTTAACACCAATGTACCTGTTTCATTAAGTGACTTTCTTTCTGTATTAATACCATTTGGTATTAATACAATTCTTGTGGAAAAAAATTAAAGGAACTGCCATATAGAGTGCCTACACACCATGTCTAGATTTAATTGTATGTGTAGATTACTAATATGAATGGACTTAGCAACAAGTTTGAATTTTGAATAAAGGCTGGCAGGCTGCCAAGTCACTGCTAGGAGGATGGAACGAAATTAATTGAGCTGCTAAAATGAAAGCAAAAGTAAAGAATTATTTTTGCTAAAGCCTACTGCAATTGGAATACATTTTCTACAAACCGGGCATGCTGGCTTGCAGATAACCGATGCACGATCCCAAAATCATAATTCCTAGACACCTCCTTGCCCTTCATACCATAGGTATTGATGACTTTCTTCAAGACTTACTTGCCATATTTACTAAACTTGACTTAGATTCATAATTGTTTTCCTACACTACTGCATATCTTTGGTACATGCCCCTGTTTTCAGATGTGCCATATGGTTATACCGTCTGTTAGCTTTGGCCAGTGGCGTAACAACCAAAGTGAAGGGGGGGGGCGCCAGCCGAAAATGGCACTTTCGGCTAAATGCCGAAAGTGACATTTTCCTGCCGTTTTGTCGGCGCGGCCGTGATTCCTTTCATCCCCGCTGGGACACAGAGCAGTGCCCAGC